AAGAAGGGCTGGGCCTCAAACACTTTCATCTTTCAGAGTATGAAAAAATTCTAATATGGATTAAACCGAACTACTACTATATAAAAGGAGTTTAACAAAATCAAAAGGTGAGATGATTCTAGACTAAAAACAATGCCCACAAACACTAGTACTGTAAATGCCTTCGTCATCTGTAAACTGACGATTTCACAGATGGAGTTAAAACATGGTACTTGAATGATTAATTTCATACTTAAGCAGCATTGCTCTGAGCAACATTTCATTTTTCAAATCTCCATCTCTCTTGTCACGCAGGGCATTGGGGACTTGATGGGCAAAACTGGACACACTTTAGCGTGTATTTACATCATTTGAAATTAAGGCACAGATATGAGATTCTTAATGGAAGATTATTTACCCAACATGATTTTTAGTGTAGCTCTTTTGTTAAATATTGTACTACAGAGCCTTACACAGCAGTCATGTATGCTATCTTGATTTTTCAGATACTTTCGGGGCATGTTACACATTATAGGCCATGATCTTGATTTTCTGTGCCTTTCAATGCTGGCCCTTTATTTTTTTAAAAAATAACCAAAAACGAATTCACTCATTGCATACAGACTTGTGTATTTCATATATGTGTGTTATTGTGATGTGTGGTTAATTTCCTGTGTGGGCTTCATTACTGACATCTACTTTAAACTGTAATCTCATTGGTGCAAGAAGAGCTCAATTCTGATCTTACTTACACCCTGTTTGATACTAGTGTAACTGAGGCCGGGTCTACATGTAAAACTTAGGTTGACCTAGTGTCAGTGCTCAGGGATGTGAGAAATCCACACACCCTAGCATTATAGTTAGGTCAACCTAACCCCCAATGTAGACACAGCTTGGTCAACAGAAGAATGCTTTCGTGGATCTAGCTATCATCGCTCGGGGAAGTGGAGTGGAAAAACTCCGTCCATTGATGTAATCTGCATCACCACTACAGGGTTTCAGCAGCGTGGCTGTAGCATGGTAGTGTAGACATGGCCTGAGATCACACTCATTTTTCACTTCTCCTTCCCGTTAGCATCCCCTTCTCTTGGCACACTAGTCCTGGGGCAAATACTGAGGGATGCCTTACCTGCTTCATTCCTCAATAGGGGAATTCTGCACCAACCTGATTCTAAAGGAAAGTCAGGTAGGCACATAAGGGAGCACAGAGAGGCTCCCCAACACCCTCTGCAGCTCCCCATACCCTTCACTAGTCATGGATTGACTCTGATCACTCTTCACCCCCATACATACGCACTAACATTCCCAAAAGGACTCTTCAAAGCAGTCTGTGTAGGAATGACAGAGGAGCCCACGACTGCTGAGAAGGGGGTTACAGTGAACCCTGCAAGAGTTAGTTGGTGGGAGTGGAGCTCATTAGAAAGGCCAGGGAGTTTTGTTCTGTCTCGTCATTTGCCTGCCCACTATAGACTTGGGGCAATACTTTAATTTGGTGCATGATACTGATCCCTGCTTTGGGTCTAGGCCTCTCACCTGCCTATCTTTCTATCAGTTTTCACAGCAAGTTGCAACAGGGGGGAGGGATAGCTCAGTGGTTTGTGCATTGGCCTGCTAAACCCAGGGTTGTGAGCTCAATCCTTGAGGGGGCCACTTAAGGATCTGGGGTAAAATCAGTACTTGGTCCTGCTATTGAAGGCAGGGAGCTGGACTCAATAACCTTTCAGGGTCCCTTCCAGTTCTATGAGATACATATATTATTATTATTATTATATAACAGGTGATGACATGCTCAGTAAACCACACTCTAGCGGTGCTGCTTTGAAGAAAGCTATGTGTGAACCTCTCCACTCTGCAGAGTAGTGTGCTAAGTTACATTAAGAGTGCTGGAGGTCTACACGTGACCACAGGTGCTCACTTTCACCACTCCTCCTCTAAAAGTACCAAGTTGATAGCCTCTGTTGATGGTGCCAATGTACATTCTTCAGCTGAGGAGCAAAGGGCTCACTGCAGACATTAATGAATATATTTATCAATATACAGACCACATTCTACTATACTGAATATGGTTTACACACTCATTTAAAGATAGAGTAGGATTCATGTAAACATTGGGCCAAATTTTCAAAATGTGTACTCTATACACTTCTAATTGATGCCCACTTTAAGGCCTTTTTACACTTCCAGAATGGTGTAAAGTAGCCTTAGTTTAAATGAGAAAGAGAACCCCAAACTGTAGATCTTCAAAGCCAGCGTATACATTTAACTAATTAATTAGTTAGATGCAAAATTAGCCTTTTGTCCACACATTTCTCTGACTTGTGTAAGCAATCGTGGTAACTGCCCATAAAACCGCAGATGCCATTTTAAAAAATATGCGCCCTATTAATAATTTATGCAGAGTGTAAACAAAGGCCGAAGGAAGTTCCTGCAAGTATATCTGAAATAACTGAGAACAAACTATAATAGAGTTAGAACAACTTACAGGAAAATCAAACAGCGCAGTATTAATGAATTGTCTGGACCCAGATTCTCGGCTAGTGGAAATGGGCCAGCTCCATTGAGTTCAAAGGAATTGAACGGATAACTTGACCATAAGGGAAGTTTCTTCCTAATCTGAATCAGATAATATGTTTCTAAGACATTAATAACCACATTCATAAATATCTAGAAAGAGAGACTCACACATCAGCTGGCATAAAGTGTCATAGTTCCATTGAAATCAATAAAGCTACACCAAGATATGCCAGCTAGGAATCTGGCCCTTTGTGTTCACACAGTCAACGACAACATTATGTACACAGGTAGTTTAGAAATACCAGACTACAAAAATACTACTATTAACTTCCTGAATTCCCACTAAGTGGAGGTCATGCTATTGAATTAGCACAAATCAGGTACTTAGCCAACTAATGTGTGGGATTTATTTGCAATTAATTCCGAGCACCAAGCTGGGGGTTGAGTAAATGCCCCTTTAAAATTGGGCCCAGTATTTTATCTTTATTTTATTTTTAAAAATTTTGTAGTCCAATCCTGAAGTTAAAATACCCATAGAAAGAGGAAGAATGGAAGCTTTCAGGGCTGGGCCTATCATGAGTGGCACATATGCAGTTTTACATCCATTTTGTGTACTAAAATCATGTCACTGTTTTCAAATCAAATGTATAATTAAGTATGTGTGTTATTTTGTCACTTGGAAGAGGATTTTAAGTTATAAGGAAGCTACTTTTAAACAGTTTGTGGAAAGTCCACAAACCCTAGTGTTCACCTAAACTCCTCTTAGAATCTAAAACACCATCACAGGGTATGTGTCTTCATTGTTTGTACAGTGTATTCCATAATGGGACCTCAACCCTGATTGGAGCTTTCAGGTGCTACAGTAATATAATTTAAAAAAATAAAATCAAGAAATTCATAGTTATGATTACCAATCAAGTGTACATTAGTAGTTTTTGATGGGGCAGATTCTCGCATGTGGCCAAAATCTACTTGGCGCAGCAAGGGGCCATCAGGGAACTGGTTATGTCTCCCTGATTCTTTGCTCAGCTCTGCCTTAGCCCTTCCCCATACTTCGCTCAAGGCTGCTCTAATTTAGGAATGTTGCTAGTGATCCACAAGGGACCATTCAGCAGCTGGGTATAGCCAGAGTGTTTGTGCTACAAAGTCAACTACACTAGCTCTGTGCCCACAGAAGACTCACATGTGCTGGGGCAGTTGCTAAAAGATGCAAATGGTTTCCACTCCATTTGCGCTACTGCCTATGCAGGGTGGGGAGCACTTGGTATTTGTTCAGTGAATCTGAGTATTCCTGGACTCTCCAGCCTTGCCCTTGACCCTCTCCATGTTTATCACTGAAACAACCTGAACAGTAAGGTTGATGGAGTCCTTAGAGAAGACAGTTTAGCCACACACTGTGTGAGAACCTCCTTTGTAGATGCCCCACATGCTGTTCTTGCCTCAATGCACAGCAAAACTACCCAACTTATGCTTCCTAGATAGCCTTTCACACCACTAGGAAGGCAGGATTCACCACTCACTGTCATTGAGTGACATTTATCTCCCATGTGCAGCATTCTGCTTTTATTTGTTGATCATTTTTATACTTAACTTTTTTTCAAGGTTAGTAAAGCACAAATTTCTCAATAAGGGGGATCAACATGCCATGTTTATATAATCCAAGTGCTAAAAAAAGTAGCTGAAAATTTCTTAACTCTTGAAAAACACTAAGGTTTTTTTCGCATTTGAATAAAATAAAAAAGCTTAATGATTTTTCCTCAAACTTTTCAAAAACATGCGTTTCCTGGTTGAGGAAACACATCAGAAATTCCAACTCTAAGGTTGTTTGGGGGAGAAGTTACAAAACAACTGAAATTAGGGGCTTGCAATAAAAATGCTTTCTCAGCCACAATTATAAGATTATGCAATGCTATAACAGACTGTCCAGTATTACCCAATGCCCTCAGTTACCCAACATCTAAAATTTACTAAGACTAAATATGTGATGTAGGGTGAGATGCCACATTTCAAATAAAAAAAGGTCCTTTAATATAAAATAAAGCATAAGGATTAATTAAAAGGAACATGGAAAAGAGTGTGCAAATCTTAATTCCCCTACTGCACTAAATGACCATAAAAAGCCCCAAAAATACCACCAAACCATGGATATATCATCCTACTTTGCACATTTTCATTCGCAAAGGCAGCTGACAAGGAAACAGCAGCCTGTTAAGGTTATTCTTGGGAGTTTAAACTAGCGAGGCATGACATAAAGATTAGTACATTAACAAAATTCTTACAGTACATCTCCCCCAAGAACAACACTGGACATTATGTTCTGAGGATAGCACATCAGTTAATAATATGGTATTTGTCTTTGTTTCATCTTAATGTACCTTGGTGAACAGATAGTATATCAGCTCTTGTAATGTTAGCTGCCATCCAGGCAAATGTTTCCTGGTATGACATTTCAAATTAAAAATGCAGAAGCTTTTGTCTCAGATGCTTGCCTAGCTGGATTTTCTTACCTTTGGTTCCATTGAAATGAAGCTGTGGGTACCTCTACTTGAGAGAACTGACCTTTTAATTGTTTTACTATGATAGAAGTGGTAATAATCCTTCAGTGCTCCAATCTGTTGGGAGGAAGAGACAGGGGAGAAGGAGAGAAAGAGAGAGATTTAATTTATGAAAAGCAGTTTTCTGTTTTTCATTTTTTAAAGGACTATAAATTATGCAATTTCCTGCTGTGCTGAAACGTTACTTGAACCCCAGTGATCATCTTTCAAAAGAAGGACATATGATATGAAATGGATGGAGTGTCCTTGAGGCAGCAACTGCAAAACCAACTATTATAATTGAGCTGCTTAGCTTGTCTGTATCTACCTTTTTTAATGTTTAATTTATATGCAGCATTTTAAGTAATTCTATACCAATCTATATCCAAACTGTCTTCACATGGCAAGTATAAAAATCATCAAATAGCTATATGGTTATTAAAAAGCATTCCATCTAGTTTGCTCAAGGAAATGTACTATAAAATGCAGAATAGGTTATTTATGTCATTAACTTACCCCAAAAAAGTCCTAAGCATCATACCATTCACAAGGAATATAAATATATGATTTTGGGGGGAAAGAGAGGAGTAATGTCAGAACTCTTAATCAATTACTAGAAGTGCTTATTCAAGTTATGAGAAGTCAAAATGGGCAACTTCTAAATAACAGAATTCAAATTACTTTGTATCCACCACTTCAGTATAGTCTGGCAATGTTGTCAGTTTTACCCAGCACCAATCTTTGTAATAAATTTTAAATCATTAACACCTGTTTTATAATGGATAGCCACACTTTTAAGACATTACTTACACACATCCACACACACCCAACATCTTTGACCCAATGGAAAATGCTTCTCCTAAGCATTTTAAAATTTGGCCTTCAAAAGAATGTCATAATAGTTGTAAATCTTATAGAAAGATCCTTTATTTGAATGAACAGTGTTCAGATCTCTCGCTCTCTTTTTTTGTTTGTTTGTTTATTTTTAACAATATTTATTAAAATTGTAAACACTCAAATGACCTTAGAAAGCAAATTTGGCTTAGTTTTGAAAACAAGTCTGAATGAAATCACAAAAGATGGTGGAAGAATAGTTATCTAACCTCATGGATTCTGTGTTTTGAATTAATAGCCCCTAATAAAGACAAGTATACAGGAAATAACTCAAGAGTTCAACCTCTAAGGTTCTAGGAGAACTGGCAGGAAAACACAATAGGGCTCCAAGGATCTGTTTTTAGGATTCATGAAGACTAAAGTCTCTGGCTCTGTGCTGCCTACAGGACAATGCAGAACACTTCATCATCTCCTAGCCCCTGTCCTGATGCTCGCAATGCCAGAAACAAGGCTAGGGTGCTTTAAACTAATCAGTGGTGCCAGATCTAGTCCTCACCCCAGCATTGGCAGCATTCAAACTTTACCAGTTTGTGCCAGGTCTCGGCCCATTTATGAAGATTTATGAGGTTCTGCTATATGTTTGTTTGATGCAGGAGCCTGGGGATTTCTTGTTTGTTTATTGCTTTAATTGCATTTTTTGCATATTCACTAAACCACAACACTAAACGCAACTTTAATCGTCTATGGCCTCCCTCTCATTAGTGTGGATTAATGAGCCTCTACTGTAACTCCTTGTTTACACACACACACACAATGCAGTCACAAAGCAAGTAGGTCTATATTTCACCATTGCACAGAACTGCACACACAGAATCTGTCATATTTATTTGGGGGAGAAGGAGGGGGAAGGGACAGGGAGAAAACCTGGACTGTTTTATGCCACATACATTTTCAGATTACCCAGTGCTCTATGTGTCTGCATTGCATTTGTCTGTTAACCTACAGCGGTAGGCTGTGGCTAACTACTGTGTGGGTCAAGAGAGCAGGGGGCTGGCAACAACTGTACTCCTAGAATTCCCCTGAGTTAGCAGTACTGGCCACTCGTAAAGAGGTGAGGTGGAGATGAGGACATCGTCCCCAACACATACACATCAACCAGCAGGGTTGACTGATCATAGAGGGAAGCACGTGCTGCATCCACTGGAAATGGGGAAGCAGTGGGGCTGCTCCCCTTGTGTGCTGGGGTGCTCCCCAGGCATTGTGTATACTGCCTCTGAATCCTTCCCAGGATAGGCTTGCACTAATGAGGCACAACTGAGCTCTTAGAGCAGGGGTGGCCAACCTGAGCCTGAGAAGGAGCCAGAATTTACCAATGTACATTGCAAAAAAAATACATCAGTAGCCCCCCCATCAGCTCCCCACCGCCCCGCTCCCAGCGCCTCCCGCCCACCAGCAGCCCTGTCAATCAGCGCCTTCCCTTCCCTCCCCATCAGCTGTTGTGGCGTACAGAAGGCTCTGGGCGGGAGGGGGAGGAGTGAGGGCACGGCAGGCTCAGGGGAGGGGGTGGGAAGGAGTGGAGTGGGGCAGGGCCTATGGCTGAGCCAGGGGTTGAGCAGTGAGCACCCCCAGCACATTGGAAAGTTAGCGTCTGTAGCTCTAACCCCAGAGTCGGTGCCTATACAAGGAGCCGCATATTACCTTCTGAAGAGCCGCATGTGGCTCTGGAGCCACAGGTTGGCCACCCCTGTCCTAGAGGTAAGTGCTGTGAGGCTGGGCCATGTCTTCCAAGCACCATCACTTTTCAAATAATTATAACTACAGTTGTCAGAAATCCATAGCTTAGGTCAGGGGTTCTCAAAACAAAATTTTTAGTGGCCTCAGAGTGCGGCCACCAACTCTTGCTGCTGCCCGCACTGACAATTTTTCCTAAAATACTTAATTAACTTTAGGAAAAACAAATAAATATGCACATAGACATATCCAAATCATAGGAATTTATTTATGTAGGGTTTTATTTTTGCAGACTCAATAATAAAAATAATGGACAGCTGTTTCTACTCTTTACTGGATCTAAACAGACTAGAAACACAGATAAGGTGCTTTGCATTTTCTGGTCTTTTTTGTTGTTTTTTCTTTTGCTTTTTTGGTTGTGTTTTTAAAAGACTTGCTGGCTAGTAAGTCTGCTGCTGTGAAAAGTGATATTTGTATGTTAATACCACTTTTCACAGCCTCCCAGCTAGCTACTAAGGCTATGTCTACACTTCAGACCTTACAGCAGCATGGCAGCGCTGCTGTAAGGTCTCCCATGTAGCCGCTCCATGTCAACAGGAGAGAGCTCTCCTGTAGGCATAATTAACCCATCCCTAATGAGCGGCAGTGGCTATGCTGGTGGGAGAGTGTCTCCCGCTGACATACTGCTGTCCACACCGGCACTTCTGTCTGTGAAACTTTTGTCGGTCGGGGGGTATTTTGTTCACACCTCTGACTGACAAAAGAGCTAATGTAGACATAATCTTAATCTGCTGTGAAATACAAATATCACTTTTCACAGCAGACTTACTCAACCCGGGCATGCCAGGATACAAATTAAGTCCTGAATGGTGAGGTAGGTAGGGAGGCAGTGGGGCTGGGGTGATAGGAGGAATGGATGGGGGCCTGGGTGATGGGAGAAGGGGGTTAGCCCGGGGCCAGAGCCCACTGCCACATGGCCAGGGGCCGGGACTGGAGCCCACCGCTGTGTGGCTGGGGGACAGACCCTGAAGCCCTGAGCCCAGAGACAGACCCCAGAGTCTGGAGATAGAACCCGAAGCCCTGCAGCTGGAGCCTGCTGCCTGCCACCCCTGGGCTGAAGCCTGACCCCGCCACCCCTGGGAAGGTGGGGAACTGGCTGCTTGCTCCTCCGGTGTGTGTGTCTCCAGAGGGGGCTAGGCTCAACTCCTCCTAGAGGCGCTGAGGGAGGGGCCACTGCTTCCTTCCCTTCCCCTCCCCCCCATCACCCAGGAGGCTGTGGCTGCAAGAAAAGCCCCTAGTGGCCACATGCGGCCATGGTGGCCACATTTGAGAAACACTAGATTAGGTTCATAAATACTAGTGGGATCAAAGAAGCCCAAATCTTGGAAATGGAATTTTATTCCTATTCAGCGAGAGCCAGTGCCTTCTCATAGTAAAGCAGTAGTGTATTATAAATTTTATTACCCTCTTTTACCTTAAAGGGAATTTCCTTAGAGCCTCCAAATCCTTGGACCATAGGGAACCACATGTACATGCAAACAAATACATATATCCCTGCTATGATTAGGATGTCTTGCCTGCTTTATTACAGATAAGAATTTGAGTGAACTTTGAAGAAGTTAACCAACGCACTGTCATTACTGTGTAACAACAGCAAAACCTCTGCTTTAGTTCTTGAAATATATTTTCCCTAAGGCAGCTTTAACTTTGAAAGTAGCATAAGGATAACTCAGGATACAGTGACTCAGTTCCTCTACCTAACTGAACCTTGGAGTGTCCTCAGAAACCTTGTGACGAATGATAAACGCCATATTGAGTGCATTACATACATTCACCAGACTGTTCTATATGACTAGGTTCACCAACAACTGAACATTTCCATTTATCCTGTATAGCAGCACCTCAGCAGGGCTGACAAAGTTACTTGCCGGTTTGATAATGGGAAATAGGAAACGTTTTCTGGTGGGGAGGGACTTATCCATCAGTTTCCATAGAATTTAAAGTTTGATTTAGACGAGAAGTTTCTACTCCTTCTGGTTGCAAACATAACCTTCCGCCTGTGAGCCGAATGAGATCTGCGATGCGCTGTAGACTGCCTGAATCTGTAGACAGACATCCTTAGACCAGAGTTTCCTTGGCAGTTGCAGGGGAATTGGGAGGGAAGAGAGGATTCTCCACCGTACAAATTCTGCCTCAGTAACAGAGACAACTGACAGTCCCTGCAACCAGGGGAGTGCAGAAACTGGTATCTCTGTGCAGCCTTGGGCACACAAATCACTAGGGCTGTGCAGAGGATGGAAGTTCTCTTTCACAAAGGATTTGGGGATTTTGAAATTTGGCTTTGTTCCAAATTGGAGCAAAAATTGAAAATTTCAAAATTCTTTGAAGGAAACATTCTGGATAAGGTTTCAGGTCATTCACAACATATTCTTTTGATTTCAACTTTTTAAAGATTTTGTAGTAATTTTTAATTATAATTGTATATTATATAAATTATACATAAGGAGGCATGG